CGCTTCAAAAGTGATCGCATGAGCAGGCTGCATACACCTTTATTGCACATCTGCTGAAGTGCTCTACTACACTCCCCTTTGTCTTGTTTGATGTTGAAAAATGCATACTTTTATTCCGATCCATTAGTTGTTGAAATTGTTTATTGTAAAACTCTGCCTGTCGTCATGTATGTAACAAGACTTGAGATAAATTCTTCCAAAAGTTTTGAATAAAAGGTCAGGTTGCTTTCAGAGTACCACAAGGTGCAATGGTTATAGTCTGTTGTCATGGATATGTCAATTCATAACTGGTGTAGAAGAGCCTCGATATAGAGTTAAAGGTCACTTCAAGATTTGAGGTTAGTCTGAAAATAGATCAACACAACCCCTCCTCCCTTAGTTGCTCCAGCAGCATTTACATTAGTGTAATCAGGTGGAAAAGCTTCATTAAGAGGGAAGATAATGTTTGGTTTAACACATTTCATTGACCAATCATATCCAGCTTATTGTTTAGAAACGAGTAGAATCAGTAATGCTTTAGTAGACAGTGATCCGATGTTTAGGAAACCAAATTTGAGGCTGGAGTTGTCAGTAGAAGGCTGAGCAGTAAGGCTGGTAGATGAGGTATTAATACCTCCTGAGCCACAGCCAGCCATAAAGGTGTCTTTCATTCCAGTCTCATAAATCTGAAGTTACTTTTGAAGACTTGGACAGTTTTTATGGCCTCCATCAATTCACAAACGGTTTACAGAGAAGAGCAACATTTCAGACCTTCCTCAGAACAAACAGCACACAACTGACTCACTTCTCTTTATAGTCCAACTCACCTGTCACAGGTGTGGTTCCAAATTAGCAATTACCAAATGAGACACCTGAAGCGCTTCCTGTTTCTTCCATATATGGTCACTACAGAGCTCTTAGAAAGAAGAAATCGAAAATAGTTTCTTTGAACACTGTCTTCTGATTTGCATTTATAGATAAAACACAAGTCCTGATGATGAACTTGATTTATGGCACTAAAAAAAGAAAGAGAAATAAAATTGATGACCTCAGTGAACTCAATGTGTGTACTGAAACACTGCTCAATTTAAGACTGAGTTTGTCTGTCACCTTCCGTGTTAGTTCATAAACTTCCTCAGTTACTATAATATACAATATGGTTGGTTTGGTTTTATTTCATTATAAGAAGTTTACACTTCCACACCCTTGTCTGAACACACACAAGACAGAGACCAAAACCCATAGGTAACAAAAATAAAATGTGATTCCACAGATCAAACAGAGACTATAGAATGGAGACTATTCAACTAAATGAAATTACATAAAACACTAAACTGTAAAAACCATGAAAGACAAACTAGCGATGTCTTTAAATAAATGTGTAGGTGATTCAGGTAAGCACACAGACTAGACTCTCTATTTTTTATTCTTTATCCAAAAATGACATTGATATGAGTGAAAGCTTCTCAGGTGTTTTCTTTAGCAGTAACTTGTAGAACTTGTTGTTTCTATGTTTTTGTTCTAATATATGACATTGATTTATAGTGTGTATTCTCTAACTCTGTTTGACAGTGAGGTGGATCACGAGATGGCTCTGATAACTTCAAAGTGAAGGCAGGTGGAGCTACAGGTGACACAGATGACAGCCTGATTACTGAGGGATGTGATCATCCAATAGGAAGCTTTGTAAGTGTTTGGCAAGTCTGTATATAAAGTTGTTTGTGGCATCACTTCAGTTTGAGCTGATGTAGGTGTTATGCTGGACTGTAGTTTAGTTTCATGCTGGTTGACTAAAGGCGACACTATAGAAAGTCATGTTTCTGTGTCGTCCTCCTTTCACTTTGTTCAAAGTTTCAAACACAAATCTTTAGTTGCTGCTTCATTGATTCACTAAACAAACAAAGAACAAGAGTCTGAGTTCATTATTCTGCTGAGTTCTCAGAATTTTCTCCAGTGGGAAGAAACTTAAAATGATGCACGAATATTTTTTTTTTTATTTTTTTAATCACATCACTTTGGAAGCTATCGTTTATTGTATTGAGTTGCATCAAATTAAAACACCTGTTCCAGATTGGCCCGATCACTCAGCTTTTTTTATTTTAATATGGTGCATGTGACTTCTGCATTACTTGAAGTCTCTGGACTTGGTTGAATAAAATTCCTGCACTTTTTTGATGTCACTTTTTTAAAGCCCTGTATCTGACCACTTTTATAACCTGACATGCTTGAACAGTGAAATGTATCTGGGTTTCATCTTCAGAAAAAGATGAGTTAATGTCAATGAGGCAAAAACTGATTCGACAATCTAGTGGTGTCAGGGGCCATAATGGAAGCACATACTGATAACTGCTACTTGCTGTGCAACAAGTGGAAGGTTCCTTTCACGTCTGCATCAACGAAGTCATACAAATTTTGTATAAAATTTGTATTATTATTATTATTATTATTATTATTATTATATATATCTTATATTATATATATTATATATATATATTATATATATATTATTATATATATTTTTTTTTTTTTTTAAAAGCCTTGAGTTCAGCCAGTGAGGGGCCAGAGTTTGAATTTAAACTAACCTCCTACCCATCAGTGAGGTTGGCAGGCTCTGACTTTATCCTAAACAGCTGCAGACCTGTTCATGTGCTTCTGTTGTTCAGAGCACATGCTTGGCTTGTTTGAAACACATGAGATCCCAACACTCCTTTTTGTTCTGCTTACAGAGTTGGCAGACTTTGAACAAGTTTACTTTAGCACCAGCAGCTATGACACCGTCAATCTTTTCGACAGGCACTCACGTCACTGTCCTTGTGTGTCGTGTTGCGGAGCAGTCTGCCGTGGGAAATGGATTTCATTTTGTTTGTCATACACTCAATATGAGACCATATTGTGACATCTAATTACCAGTTTTATAATCCATCTGCCATCACTGTAGACAAAAAGCAAAAATTCTATACACAACCTCAAATGAACACCCGGCAGACGATTAATAACCACAAAGAAATAACCAATTTAATAGTTTTTAATTCATCAAAAGCGTTGAGGTGAATATGAAGGATCCCTTCAGTCTGGGCACTCTATTTGGCTGCTGGCTTCAGTCACATCTGCTCTCAAAAGCACAAACACAGATATTGCCTTTCTTATGCTAAAACTTGTATATTGCAATCAAGTACAAATGTATTGACACTATCCGTATAACTGTCCCAATTCACACACTCAATGTGCTACATGTTGGCCAAATTCTTAGTGATTTACACTTAATTCATAACCCAATTTGTGGAGGCATGAACAATGTCCACCTGCTGCAGGGCACTGAAGTCTCTACTGGGTGTCATGGAGCTTCTTCTACAGGTGCACTGCCCTCTGCTCTGCCGCCTTTTTCAGCCAAGGCTTTTTCCAGCTTCCTCTTTTGACACTGCTGCATCCATGCAAGCATGCTGCAAATAAAAAACCAATAAGATCACAATCATAAATGATGGAAACGAGAACTGATTTCAAAGTGCATACATACATATTTGGTATGTTGGCCATAGGACATTGTTAGTAATCTCACCTGTAAAGTATGACTAAGGAGTTACCTACCTACCTACCTACCTACCTACCTACAGAATTTGACAGTAGTGTCTGATTCGATTCAGAATTTAGTTTGCTGCTGCTGACAAACCCATTGTGTTGTTGGGTCTGGTAGGAGCACGTTTGGATATTAACTAAGAAGCCTTAGAATCCTTAATAAATCATTGACGTATGACGTTGATTAATTATTAATCAGTAATATTGTGTTAATCAATATTAATTCATAATACGGGGCACCACCCGGGAACAATAACCAAATCACTTTGTAGTCTCATAACCTTAATAGTACACTCCGAGTAATGGGTCCCTATGTCAGGGACCGTGAGTATTAATTGAAGGATTAAGTTCGAGCTCAGACCTTCTCAATCAGTCATGGATCGCAATGAACATACACAATAATGACCAAAGACTTCTCTTTCAACTACAATGACATTTATTAAATCTCCACAACAACAAAGTTAACCAGTCTTGATTTATCCTAGTATACTACCATCAATCGACTAATCTACACATATAAGAGGAAAACAGCCATACAATCAAGTGGTGTGTGTGTGTGTGTGTGTGTGTGTGTGTGCGGGTATGCGTGTGTGTGTGGGGGTGTGTGTGTCTATGTGTAGGTATGTGGGTGTGTGTGTGTGAGGTAAGATGGCGGGTGTGATCTGTAGCGATCACGTCCCGCAGAGGTCCAAGATGGCGGACGGGTCTAAGCA